GGCCAAGCGCAGATCTAGTTCTCACCAATTCCTAAAGCATTGCTCATGCCAGAATCCCCCATCCAAAAAGTCTGCAAGCCATCAGAGGACGTAATGCAGCTCCTCTCAGTTTTGCAGAGGGGAAAGCCTCTTAGCACCTCCCTTCCACTCACACCTCTCTCATCCCCCTATGCAGGAATAGCCCCCCCCCCCACACACACACACTTTTTAAAGGGAGAGGTGAAAAACAAAAGAAGGAGAAACCAGAAGCTTTAGAAGAAGGAGGAAGGCGTGATTCTGCAGATTCAGGCTGCATCCGGGTACTGCTGGGGGCGATGGAATTATTCATCTGGAAATAAATATTGCATTGATGAGCCCGACTGAGCTGCAAACCTTTTTATGCTCTTGAAATCTATCATCTGAGCATTTCAAAGTGCGGCTTATTTTTAGGAGTGCCTGCGAAGCTTCTTAATATTTGTCTGAAAAGAAACGCTTATCTCCCCTCCAGTTCCCTGCTCAGTGCTGGGCTGAGGAGGTGGCACTAGTAGGTGCTACTCTTCAGTGCAGAATTTTGAAACACTTGATTCCCTTAAAAAAATGAAATAGGAAGAGGGAGGCAGGCCGGAAGGTCGACATTTCCAACGGCAGGGTTTGTGAAGGTGTTTTGGGTAGGCGGGCTTTCACGTCACGAAAATGGTCCTGCAATTCCCATGCAGTAAACCAAACAGGAGCCTTTAAAATCAGGTTAACTGTTCCAAGACAGCCGGTGTGGTATCATGGTCAGGATGTTAGACTGGGACATGGGAGCCCAGGGTGCAAGTCCCACTCAACCATGAAGCGCACTGGATAAGTCTGAGCCCATCACTGAATCGCAACCTGACCCACCTAATCTGACAGCCTAACCTACCTCACAAGGCTGTTGTTGTGAGGATAAAATGTGGAAGGAGAAGAAGAGAATGATGTAAACTGCTCTTATTTTTTTGCAGGTAAAAAGGCAGGATATGAACACAATAAAGAATAAATAAGGTCATCCTGCCCTGTACCCAAATATATCTGATTGGTTCATCTGTCGGCTATTCTGCCACAAGGAAAGCAGATATATTTGGAGAATGCTCATATTTCTTATCATTAGTCAACCAAGCTATCTGGGGTGGAGGGTGCCGAGGGTTCGTTAAATCAGACCACCACTCTCCCCAATGGGAGACACACTCAAGGAGAGGATTATACCCTGATAGCCCTTCAAAGAGAGGATAGTCCTCAGTAAAGCAGGACACGTGGCAACCCTCTGAGCTCAGTGGGGCCCAGGTAAGTGTGTATCCTAATTAAATTAAACAGAAAACATGGAGGAGAAAGCTATCAGGGCTACTAGTCCTCATGGCTGAATGCTGCTTCCAGCAGCAGAGGCAGAAGTGCAACAGTTGCTGGGGAACATGGGTGGGGTGATGTTATTGTACTCATCTCCTGCTTGTGAGCTTCCTAGAGGCTGGCCACAGTGTGAACCAGCCTCTAGGAAGGAGAGGGCTTTGCTCTGATCTGGCACAGCTATTCTCTAGTTCTTAAAAAGGAACCTTTGTTGATAACAATTCTGTGCTAAGCAACATGTATCTATCTACATAGAGATATGAGCACGGGTGGAATTTTCTTTCTCTACGTGTGATGCCCAATGGCTGTGGAGAAGAGCGTTAGAATCTGATCCATGCAAAGCTATCCAAACTTGCAGCCTGGGGCTCGGACGTGTTGCTTCTGCGTTGCATCTGCAACACGGAGCCTGGTTTGCCAAGGCTACGACAATGAACAACGCTGGCTGAAGGAGAGACGGCACGTAACCAAGATGACAGACGGCACCGCTCAGCTGCTTCTGAGCACGTCGGGGCTGCAATCTCACACGCATTTGCCAATAAGCCCACACTGATCTCGGGGCTTACTCGAGAGTCGGCATGCATCAAATTGTTCTGGAGGTCCCGCTGATCTTTGTAAGAGGGTTTTTTGCTTTGCCTAGTTGAAAAAGGAATGCCAGTTCTAAAAGTGCTTCTATTCTTAACTGGCATGGATAAATGAGAAGCAGAGACGAAAACAGCCACTTGGGTCTAGAACCAGTAAATAAACAGACCCCAGTTTTGGTTGTGGGTGTTCTTTACTGGGCTTGAAAAATGGAGCCTTATTAAATTGCACCAGCCAATGTTACCCACATTTAATTCCATGGAACCGGTGCAGCATTCTTGCTAAGAGACTACGCAAGGAATCAGGACGCCCCTGATGGGAATCCCACCTCTTGCACACACTTTGTGGCTTTAGTCAATCAAAAACACTCAGCCTCCTTTTCTATCCCCATCTGCAATGCGGGAGGGGGCAACCATACTCGCCCACCTTGCGGAGATGTTGTAAAGCAGCCTTCCCCAGCCTGATGACCACAAAACATTTTGGACTACAACTCCCAGCATTCCAGACCTTTGGCCATGCAGGGTGGGGCCACTGAGAGTCCAAAATATGAAAAGGGGATCATGCTGGGGAAAGCGAGAAGTGCTGAATGAGCTATCCAGGGGAATGAACCTGTTTAAGAAGTGTGTTTCAGGACCCTGGATAGCTCTTGCAACGTTGAAGATGACCACTCGGAGGAGAAGGCCGTTTCCCCACCGGCATGGGAGTGCCCGGGCATGTGCAGATGTTCCTGGCACTGAAACCAGCAGAGGAAACGCCTGTTCACTTGGGTGAAGTCGTAGGCTGGGCCATGTTACGCCACGTGTCACCTTTCGTGGCGCGATCGTCGTCGTCCCCGCAGCTGGCGGTGGCTGGACGACCGAAGCACGCAGCGCCGGAGACAGCGAAGGGAGGCATGTGCCAAAGTCCACGTGGCGAGTGGAGATCATTTCCGAAAGCAGGAAGCAGTTTCTTATGCTCACTTCCAGGCTGAAATGGCAAGCCGTACAATCGCGGCTTTGCGTTTGCTCGGGACATGAAGCGTCGTGCGTGAATCTAAGTGCAAGCGCCCGTGCGATGCTTCAACCGTTGTAAGATACACAAAAGCTTATCGGGGATATTTCAGGACATTATTATTCCATTCTGTCTTTATCCCAGCCATTAGCCTCTCGCGAGGAGCCCAAGCTGGTTTGCATGGTTCGCCTCATCTCCATTGTGTTGTCCTGACAACCCTGTGAGGTAGGATAGCCTGAGGGTCATTGACTGGCCCAAAGGTCCCCAGGGAGCTTCACAGACTGGGATCTCCCAAGTCCCAGCTCCCTGGGCACAGATCAGTTGTAACTGCTCAAATGCATGAGGGTGAGTGAGCAAAGGAAGTAGCTCAGGGGTCAGAGGGGGTGAAAACTTGCTATAAACAAGAAGGATTGGGAATGAAAAGCCTCTCAGCTTTCTCCAACCAGCTTGACGGAGAGGAGAGGAGAGGAGAGGAGAGGAGAGGAGAGGAGAGAGAGAGAGAGAGAGAGAGAGAGAGAGAGAGAGAGAGAGAGAGAGGGATTCTCCAACAGTTTTGCAGAGCCCGGCCTCAGAAAGGTGGCATCGGCACCACCGTCTTTGAGGGGGTCCCAAGGGGCTAGCTTGCTTTTGCACTGCTACTCTGAGGTCGAGACCAACTGTCTTAGCATCCTGGCCACCATTTCCTGTCCTCCATAATCCCCCTGGTGGAGCATGAAGTCGGGCCATTTCCTGAATGAACAGGCTTGAGGGAGGGGGGAACAGCAGGCCCCAATCCCATCCCCCCAGACAAAAACCTGGTGGAAAAAACTCCAGGAATGGATGAGAAAAGGCTTGTCACAGAAATAGCGGTCTGCTGAGAAATTTCACCTCAGTCCCAGAGCAGAGATCTGAAAATATCTCCAGGAGCCCCTCTCTGGGTCCCTGAGGCGCCACCCAATGGCAGCGCTGCGCTGCTGGTCTCCTTCTCTGCCCTACTTGTAGATTTGCAGATCAGCCTAATATTAGAAAATGCCATCATGTCCAGTGTGCCTGGTTCTTGGTTTCAGCCAACCATACCCTCTTCAAAGGGACTCCTTTCCATGCTGCTCCAGCTCCCTGCAGTTTTCTGTAAGCTTTCCATCAGTCCATGTTCCACATTATTTTGGAGCGCACCTGGAAATTGTGGGTCCGCCCTGCCTGCCCCCTGCCTGCTGATCGCTTGTGGGTGGATGGGCTCCTGTTTTGGCTACAGATGGAGCAACACTTACAGAATGAATATAGCTTTGTGGGAAAATATGCTCATTCATAAAACAATCTGGGTGCTTTTCTCCCTGACTGCCTCAGAGGTAATCAGCATTACACAGGCTGGGGCTCCTCCAGATGTTACAGACTCCACTTCCAGATGTTTTAGACTACAGTTCCTGTCAACCTACCCCTCTGCACACTCTTGGGTTGCATTTTCTTAAATGAAATAAATTGTTCAACTTAATACATTCATGCATGCCACAGCCTGGAAATCTACTCCGCAGCATTCCAGTTTTGGACATGTTTGGTGGAGTTGACTGTTGTTAAAATTCACAGGCTTCAATAATGCATATTACCCATCAGATAAGAAGTGAGACACTGGAATTTGCTATTTTGATACTGAGCCCAGGTTTTTAAGCTATTTTGCTGATGATTATGGAGCCCAGTTGTTATTTGTAATGCTTCTTCTTGCAGGAAAAATTGCAGGAAAAATAGCTCAGCATGAAGAGATTTCTCTGTGCTAGAAGGGTTGTTAAAAGAAGCATGACATTTTAAAAGTTAGGTGACAAAGCACAAGAAATTCCTCCATCTGCTGTCAATGTAAATATCTCTTGAGTCTTCCATGCCCAAATTGTTGCTCGCATCTCATGTGCTGGACTACAGGCATGTCGATGGGGCGATTACGGGAGCGACAGTCCAACGCATCTTGGAAGGCACGAAGGTGGGAAAGTCTGGATTTAGCCGGTGCTACATTTCTATGTTTTTGCTCTGCACCTCCAACCTGCCAGAAATAATCCTGCAGCTGCCTGCATGTAGCAACGCAATTGGAAAAATCACCCATCACAGCAGACAAGACTGTTACTAACCTTTGGAAAGAGTGAGAAGGTTTCGTTGTCGATTGTGAAGGAATACAGAAATTCACCATCGTACCAGAGGTTCTTTCCCACGGGAGAATTCTCCTTCGTCATCGCAAAGAGCTGCCCAGGGTCACAACAGTCTTTCAGCAGTTTCCTGAGAGGGGGCAGAGGAAGAAAGGCTGCTGAGCTGGAAAAATCAAGAGGCAGACGCCTTGGGTGGGAATTCATCATAAAACCAGACCAGTGACTCAACTGCATCCTCAGCAAGATCAGTCCCTGTGACCCCCGCACTGGGCACTTCGGGGACGACTCTGCCTGCCCTGGCAACAACCCTGACGCTGCGTTTACTGCCGTGCCAACGGAGGCGCCAGGGCTGCACCTGGCCAGATGTCATGGGAGCAGTTTCAGGTCCGAGGGCCTCAGGAGACAGGCGTGGTGCTTGCCAACGCAACGCATTTCCCCCAGCCATGTGGGGGGCAGGAGGAGCACCCTCCGCCCTTCCCCCACGAGACAATGCACGCTCCGGCTGAATCCCCGAAGCCTGGCCCAATCCACTAAAAAGCAGAACAGCTCTACTCTGCCAAGCAGCTTTAAATCAAAAGATGCGTTTGTCAATATGGCTTTCCGACAGACTACATAAGCACTCCAGGGAACATATGTCTTTGCCACATGCCTTCCTTCCACTTTCTGTCTTCCTCCTTTCTTGAGATCTTTCTGGTGGAACGCATTTCAACCTGGGGGTGAAACTGGGCCCCCCTCGGCAAGGCCCCCGTGCCAGCCTCTTCCGCAAGCTTTTGTGCTTTCTTGCAGGTTAGAATGGCTTTCTTAAGGCTGAATTGCTGTTTTAGCCTTAAGCTGGACCTTTCTGCACCTTTTCCTACCCATCAATGGGAAGCCGCACCAAGAGCTTTTCCAGAATTGAATGCAGCCCTTGGAGAGGAAGACGATGCAGTGTACCTGCCATGCACTAAGCTTCTCCAACCTGGTGCCCTTCTGGGAGACTACCACCTCTGTTCCTGTGCTGGCCAGGGCTGATGGGAGCTGAAGTCCAAAACAGCTGGAGGGCACCGGGATCTGGAGGCATCGTGGGATGCAAGATCACCCTTTGGGTTGTCATCTTTTTTCAAGGGCTACGCCCTTGGGCCTTTAAAAGCACTTGGGCACTGCGGCATCACATGAAATTCCTCCTTCATTTGATCTGCACATCGGAGTTTTGCATTTCTCTGCATTGGCAGAAAACAGAGAAGCAGCCAAGAGACAGAGTTACAAATAAGGCCACCCCTGATTTGGTTTGACTCTCACCTTGGTCATGAATCCATTAGGTGGCCACTCTAATTCAGGCACAGTCCCCGACCTCTCTGGAGCAAGGGGAATTATACTACCATCCTACCTGATCAGGTTGTTGTGTGGAAATGCACAAAAAGCACTTTGAATACTTAGAAGCACTAAATCAAGCACTAAATCAACTGCTTTTGAAAACAGATTGGTATTCTGTAACGTTTAGTGCATTTCAAATTGTTTTGGTTGTTTTTTAAACGGATGTAAGTTGCTTCGAATTGGCACTTGCTTGGAAAGACATGGGTTAGAGTCTCAGGTCACCAGGCTAAAAAGATGTTGCTTGTGGCCCTACAGAATTGGTGCCAATCCCAATGGAGGCCCTGCTCAAAATCCAATCAGGAACACTGCAAAAGCCTTTGTTTACAGCGGGAATAGTTTGGAACTTTTTTTGTACTGCTTTCCTTCTGTTTCACTCTTCCTCCATGGTAGAAACTCAACGGACATGCATGGATCTTCAACTCTCCCTTTTAATGTAGAAGGCCCAGCTTTGCCCAGTGCTAATGCAGCTGAAGGGATCTGAATTGCTTCTCTTGCTCCAGAAATATTTTTGTTCTGAGAATCGGGATGTGTTATTACTGTTTCCAGGCCCAATTGAGAAATTGCATATGTGACATTTGGGGGGGGGGGAGAAGGGGCAACAGCGTGAGCAAAACTGCACCAGGAATAGATCCAGACATTCATTCTATGTTCCACCAAAAATGTTCGGTGTAGAACAAGCATTCGATTTATCCCTACTTCCAGATGGAGCAGAGAGCTTAATCTTTAATAATTCTGTGGCAGCATCCCTGCCATAACTGTGCGACAGAGGAAGAGTGACTGAAAAAAAGGAGTTCTGTAAGACAGCTTTGTAAGACTTGCCTAACTTCATATCTGTGACCCTACAGCAGAAGATCACTTGCATTCATTTTAAAAGCTCAAAAGATCATTTCTCTTCTTGCACAGTTCTATAGCAGCCCTGACGGCAACATGCTAGGAATTCTAAGGAAACTTGCTGAGAAGCTCAGTTGCCACTGAACTTTCCCAGTTCCTGCCATCTGCTCTGCTGTACGACTTCTCCCGCTCCGGTTTTTTCCTTGCCAGCTCTCTCCATGCATTTTATTTCCATCCTCACCCCTAACCCTTGCAAGCAGCCCACCTGTGGCTAGTGGAATCACTCCATCATGCCATGAATACACCTCTGGGGTGGAGGTTCCCCCTGCCCTTACTTTACCTGGACTTCTCAGTGTTATGGTAATCATTTTTAATATTTGTTAAAAATGCATTTATTTCCAAGCACCTGGAGAGAAAGCAGAAAGAGCCCAGTGGGTACCAATCCAAGGGAAATTGGAAGCATATGGCTGGTTTACTCACAAGGAATCATTCATGTCAGAGGAAAAAGGTGCAATAGAAATCAAATATAATACTAATGATGATGATGAAGGAAGGACGTCACCATGCAATGTCACAAGAAACAGAAACAGAGCAGAGTCATGAAATGCTGAATAAAACATTCCTCCATATCTCTACTCTCCTAGAGAAGATCAACCCTGACTGCTCTTTAGAAGGCCAGATCCTGAAGATGAAACTCAAATATTTTGGCCACCTAACGAGAAGGAAGGACTCCCTGGAGAACAGCCTAATGTTGGGCACAATAGATGGCAAAAGAAGAAGGGGATGGCAGAGAATGAGGTGGCTGGATGGAGTCACTGAAGCAGTCGGCGTGAGCTTAGCTGGACTCCGGGGGATGGTGGAGGACAGGGAGGCCTGGAGGAATGTTGTCCATGGGGTCGAAACGGGTCAGACGCAACTTCGCAACTAACAACAACATCTCTACTCAGATGCAAGTCCCGTTGGAGCTTACTTCTAGGTAACTGAGAAGATGATTACAGCTTATGTCTGAACACTGTGACATGTCAATATGCCCAAATATATCAGAAAGTGCCGCCTTCCTTGCCCTCCCCAACCCTTGAAACCCCTCTTTAACCCTCCCCCCACCCCAGTGGCAGAGCAGGAGAGGAATGGAGGCATTCGAAACAGGGTCCCTGGAGGAGAGCTTTGTGAGTACTCTGGGCCGAGAGAAAGCCAGACAAGGGGGTCCCGGATCAAGCCAAGCAGAACCAGAAGCAAAAATGATGAAACAGAGGCTGCCGAACTTTGGGCACATACTGAGAAGGCAAGATGCCCTGGAGAAGATGACCATCCTAGGGAAAGTTGAAGGTAGAAGAACGGGACGACGCAAGAGGAGATGGACTGACTCCATAAAGTTAGCCGGAGCCCTGAGCTTGCAAAACTGAGCAGGGCAGTCACAGAGTGGCTATTCTGGAGGGCACGCCTTCATAGGGTTGCCCTAAGTTAGCAATTACCTGATGGCGGGTAATTACAGGTAGAACACAGCGCACAAAGGTACACCCAACTACTCACTTTGTCAGGATGGGCTAGGAAAAGGGTCCAGAAGGTGGTGCTGGGGGACAGTTGCTCTGCCCCACGGCAGTTGTGTCACGGGGTTCCACAGGGCTCTGTACTGTCCCCCAGACTGTTTAACGTCTACATGAAACCGCTGGGAGAGGTCGTCCGGAGGTTTGGGCTCAGGAGTCAGCAATACACTGACAACGCTGAGCTCTACCTCTCATCTAACCCAGGTGGGGCTCTTGCCATCCTGAGCCAGGGCCTGGATTCCACATGAGGGTCAATAAGCTGAAGCTTAATCCTGGGAAGGAAGAGCTACTGTGGGTAGAGAGGGCCTCTGATAGGTTAGGCAGGCATTACCCTGTCATGGGTGAGGTTTCCACTAAAAGATGCGTGCATCTGTTGGCATTTTAACCCCACCTACCCACGGGCATCCAGTTTCAGAAGAGGCGAACACGTGGTGGTAAAGAGGGCTTGGAGAAGTGGTGGAAATACGTGGTTGATGTTCTCCTAGAGATCCCGATGCAACACAAGGGACCCCACAAAAAGGGGAGACCTCAACAACCCTTTCTGTACCCTCCCAGTTCTACATCACGCCGTTCATTAACGAGTGCTATGAACAGATTTCTGCCATCGTTTAAGAAATACGTGAACTTTCTTGTGATTTTGTATGAATCCTGCCAGTATTTATTGCCGTGCTGTACAAAACTTTTCCTTCAGAAACTCCCTGGCCATAGGCGAGAGGTTTTAGGAATCCCACGGAATTCATAAGCCAGGTGCAGGTTTGCTCACAAGGAGACTTTTGTTGTGCACAAGGTACAAGTGAGCGAGCTTTCAAAGAGTTTTGCAGCATGTTACTCACAAAGAAGTGTGAACTAGCCTGCAAAGCAAGCGTCAATTTGTGGGAAGGACCAGTCAGGGAAGCCACCTGTGAGGTGTCAGTGTCTGAACAGCACACACAGGAGATGGCCAGATTATATGGCTCATATTTAATAGAACAGTACAGCTGGAAGGGGCCATGAAGGCCACCAGGTCCGACCCCCTGCAGTTTACAACAACACAGACTCAAAGCCTACTTTGTAAGCTTGGTAATATCGATTAATGAGGCAGCATCGACACCTGTAATCTTAAAGCCAGTGATGAATGTGACACAGGTGCCATAACATCTGTTTACCTTGTCAGCTTTATTTGTAACTATCTGCTTACCTCGTTAGCAAGCCAAAATGTTTGATATGTGCCATAAACATCAGCATATAAGACAATCCTTGAAACCAAAAACAGCAGAGTAAAAACTGTTGATCATCTTATATGCCTGACATATGACAAACACCAGAAAAACAGCCTAAAATATTGACCTCATGTTATACATGGGTCACCTTATATGTCGATTTTTCGGAAACATACATCCCGGTCACTTGTTCCACACATTAT